TCATTCGCTTATGGGACAATGGGAACATGTCTGACAGCAAACCATTAGGGCCTCCGACAAAAGTACATCATCCGCAGAGGAACTGTATGTATGTGGTTGTGTATGCATGTCACCTTCCACATTATTGCTGGCTTCCCTTCCGATCCATTCACCAAATACGGAGAGCTCCCAAAACATTCTTTCGGTAAATAAAAATTGTTCGAGCGTGTAACCAGCGAACACGGTCAGCGGTTGGCCGACACCACAGACATGGAACCAGATAGAGTAAATAACTTCCGAATGGTTTTGTATAGAAGCCTACTCGTGATTGACAAACCTATTGCGATGTTCTGCTGCTGTTTCGTGCAGAGGTCTGTTTGTTTATTCAGTGTCCCTCCCGGAGGGAGGTATGGGAGGGAAGGGAACGTTGAATTTAAAAAGGAAACTGAGATTGTGACAATCGTTTAAAAATAATAGACCATCCGGATCGAGACATCGGAAGAATGTTGTACGATTTCATTTAGTTATATGTATTACTTTGTAGGAAGAGATCCTATTAGGAACCATCAAATATTATTATTGTCTGTTTTGGGGATTCTGGTGATATAATTTAATGTTCTTCGTCTCTCTCTCTCTCTCTCTCTCTCTCTCTCTCTATATATATATATATATATATATATATATATATATATAGTTCCTATGAGTAGCTGTTTGAAGCGAAAAACTATTTAAAAATTCCTAAACCTGAGTAAAGGGCATGAACTTTTCCGTAGGCATCTTTTTTGTCGTCAAATTTAGTTTCCCTCCTCCTCGGCTGCGCCAATCACAGATCACGCTTCAACGAGCTGCGGTCTCCTCTCGTTCGATCACTGAGTGCTGCCTGGGTCGGTAAATGCAATTACGGATCACGCACTAGCGTATAGGCGACCTTCGACAGCGAGCGGGTCGTATGTTCAACAAAGTGGTCTGGTTTGCCGATGTGAAACCACAAATCTCCTAGAGTTTCAGATAATGTTCTGACGTAGTATGTTTGTCTGTGTGTGTGTGCACGCGAGTGGTCTAGCTCTCTTCCCAAACTGAATTTCAAATACTCCACTTAACTGACCGAGATAAGTGGGTTCGTGTTAGTCCTTAGGAATCCACGAAAAGTATGCATGACATACACTAGACTCAAATGGTGATACACACGGGAAGAACACAGAAACGTAATGAATGAGGTGTTGTGACTGATTTATCCGTATTAAATTCCTCGAACTCCGTTTTGTTTGCATTAATATATTCACCACAGAGAATTCTACAAAAAACGACTGATTGTAGTTTGTTGGAATTTCGAAATAAAGAAAGTGATAAGTAATTGTATTTGTTTCCTGCTTCAAATTGTCTGAAATAGAGAAGAGTCAATACAAAAATATTCGAACACTCTTTCACGTGGGTTTTGTTCCTCTTTGCACGATTGCGTTATGAGCTCACCTTCGATGTATCTAATTTCCAGATGAGTTTTCTTGTTCGAGAAACCACCGCCGTCAAACGAAGCGCTTGTGGCGGCCAACTAAAACCACCAGACAGCTGTTTGGTTCCTTTTGCAACTCGCCAACGGGGCATGCTTGTCTGTAATCAAACCGCGAACCTGTTGAATCGAAGTCACAGTGCTTACTCGTAAACCACAGTGACTAAGATTACCGTTTGATCCAATGGTTAGAGGGATGAAATATGTTCCTATTTTAATCCCAAGGGAAATCGTTGACACTGTGCGTTGTTGCCCTGATGTGGCTCTCATTCCTTGGGGGTTCCCTTATTTTCCAAAATTAGGGCTTTTTATTGTTGTTGGGGGAATCAGTACGCCCGATTCATGCACCTAAAGGGTTGTTCATCTACCGTATGATTCAGTGGCGAGGGTTTTCGATCCTGACCAGAAACTTTAGGTCCGAGTCCTGCAGGAGCACAGAGTCAGTTCCATTGCGGTTCATGTGATTTCACAACATTCCGATTTCGGATTGCAGTGATCCAAAGACGCATTTTGCAGCTTCTTTTTTATTGCCGTATTTTTGGGAAACGTTTTTTTGGTTACGTAAACCGTAAAAAGACAATGCCATAGACATGACTGGGAAGAAGCTGTCATTGTCGCTCGTAGAGTAAGATGTAGTCCACATGAGAACAGATAAGGGTCTCTGAGTTAAACAGTTCCGTTTTTATTAGCAATAAAGAGGCAAGTGAATGACAAGCTATGGTGAACAAACAATTTTCAATGGTTCCACATGGCGCGATTGGTATTTGAACCAGTTTTTCGCGTATACGATCTGTCAGCGTGAAAGTTATTTATTCAATAACACAGTTTGATTCACACAGACTGCTGCCTATGTGGATTTAGGTCTATTCAAACTGCGACAAAGTATAAGTAGTTCTCATAATTATCGGATTTACAATGAAAAATTCTAAAATCGGTTTAGTTGATGCAAACTCTCTTTAGGTGCTGACATTTTTTAATGAATGACCAACATTCTGGGTACGATAAATATGGCCTGAAAACAACGCGAAGCGAACTCTCTTCACATATCGATCGTAGATGAGCTAAACGACTGACCAACATATTGTCATGTGGATGGTAAACTTTCCACAAATTACCTTACTTGAACTGCAGTAAAGATCTGAACTGTCCTTATTTGACAAAGTGCATACCATGTGCCATTTAGAATGTACCTTCAGCACTGACTGACTGAGTCCTCATGGCGACCCTGCCACACAGACACACGCGCACACAGAATCCTTGTGTGAGCAAATATATCGCTTACCGTTCAACTAATTTGTGCACCACAACTGAGGTCTTCAGTTCTATCAGACAAACCAACTTCCTCACTGTCGGACGAAGTGCTTGTGCATACATACACACAGAGATGACTCAGTGCGATTGTCTTATGCACACCTGCCGCCCCCCACCGATGGGATGGATTTCGGTCTTTTTATTTTCCATCCTTGTCGTTTTTTGCAGCACATGTACGTGGGAATGTGGCCTGTTACACACACTATACGCGTGTTGTGTAGTGTCCACCACAATCGGTTAAATTTGCAATCTATACACTCTTATTGGTCTTCGGGGTGTTTGGAATAGATATGGTTGTTCGCAGGTGTATGCAACTCCTCGATTCTCAGGGCCTGTCCATTTTGTGTCCATAACTGTATCCTGCTGGTCCTAGTTGCTGACTCACAACGAGTTGCTCAGTTCATGTTTACAAACAGACGCAGACATCCACCCACACACCTGCCCAGTATCGTGCGCCGCTGTACAGCCTAGTGATGCAAAACACTAATGTAATCGAGAGCAGAGTAGAACACATCTGACTGAGTCCTTGTACACTCTCACCGAATACCTATTGATCAGTTTGCGCGAGTTTTGTCGACCGTCTTCCGTCACACATGAAACGTACCCTGCAAACTGACTCAGCGTGGATCGCTGCAAGTATTCTGAGTTTAAGCTTGTTCTTTTGTCTATATTTCTGTGTGTGTGTACGGGTGTGGGTGCGGGAGAGGTGTCGACTCGCTTCGCTAGCCAAAAATGTTGTTCATGTTCTTGACGCAGACGGAACAGTACAAAGGCAGTGCGGACTCGGAAACAGATGCAGGCTTCACTAATTGATTGCAATGTCAATAAGGTCTGCACATGAGGTCAACAAATTGTTGAGTGTCGCTTGCTCTGTTAATGGTTTACCAGTGCTGCAGTTCGTAGACTACATGGATGTCTATAATCAGATACCTGGTGGCTATTAAAGCATTTGCATCACCAAAACTATTGAGTAAGGCGATATTTCCCGAAAGTGAAAATGAATCTTTCGTATTCAATTCTGACAGTTTCAACCGATGAATTGAAAAATAAAGCATTTTTGACATTTTCTTCCAGCAATTTCACGCTGATCGAACTCAAGGTCATGATATATTTACTCCGTAAATATAAAAGAATACGGAGTAGCATTTACTAAACTCGCTTTCGAGTTGGTCAGATAGTTGAATATCTGAGGTGAAAGGGATAATAGGGTATGAATCAGTGGAGACCAGCAGTTCATCAATCACTGCAAGATTCACCCGAGCAACGTGAGCACAATCATTTCAGTCTGTACGGTATTGGAGTGCAAGAATTACCACACAATTTGGTTGTTATTGTTATCAAGCACGAAGCCAGATGGATAAAAAGGGATTCAGCAAATCTAGTGATGGCATCCGGCGATGCACAAAGGCGTTGTTCGGACTGCAGTTAGAACTCTCAATGTTACTTAGAAGCGTTTGACCGACAGGTGTAGTTGAAAGCAAATTAGCACTGTGCAAACAAGCTAATTCCTTATACGGACGGTTTTTGCAACGACAACAACGACAACATCAACAACAACATAATTCCTTACGATTTACGTTCATTCGGTTGAGCTCATTATCAAAAAATAATATAGAAACTATTCAGAATGGGCTTAGTCGTTTTTGTTTTACAAAGTCAAAGAATCGATAAAACAAAAGGTATCCACTCGAGTGAAAACCTTGTAAAATGATCTCCCCAAGCAGCACCCGTACACAGAGAAGAAGCTAAGGTATTCAACTACGAGATAAACTCTATTTTGGATGTTGTTAGTTTAAAAGTGATTTATTGCATGCCCAATATAAACTGATCCCTCATCACTTAATTCCAGTGTAGATTTGTGCTTTGTAATTTGGAAATATTTTAGTGTTTTCAGAGCAGTCCTTCGTTAGATTGAGTCTGAAATATTGGAGAGGTTTAAAAGAGTCAGACTTTACCATTGGTAATTCACTCCGTTTTATTCCATTTGCAAGTGTGTAAACAAATTGTTTTTGTAGGGAAAATGTTGAGTTCGGAGCTTCATTTAACAGGATTAATTGTGTGTTATCAACGAGAAGGACTTGCAAACTGCTTTATTGTTCTGTGGTTCTAGTGTACTCTACGAGCTGCTTTAACTGAACCGCTAAAATGTAAAACAAACTAACAAAACTTCCACATTGCCGTATTCCATCTTTCTCTTTCGAAGGTACTTTTGGATTTGGGCCAATCACCCAACACACGTGACCAGTTTGAACTCACGCCCTTATACTATGCCGTGTTAAATGATACCGTGGCCTTGTGTGTCGAGCGTTTGTTATACGATCATTCTGTGTTGGGAAAATCTGATGAAGCCGGGCTCCAAGAAATCCACCAGGTGAGAAAAAACTGTTTACACAAAACCCTTATTTCCATTATGCACATATCTCGCACAGTTAGTACACTTCACAATTTCCTCCGCTCAACGAAAAGTGAAATTCACCATTGATATACCAAAAGTATGGTGTCCAAGTGGAAGAAAAATGCTCGAAAATGTACGAACTCCGGAGTTGTACCGAACTCCACACAAAACTGTGGCATTACAAACTATCCACATGAGCTCAGTGGAATATCAGGTGAACGAAAATGCAAGACGAGGAAAACTTCTTTTTTGAGCACGGATAAAGTCATGATACATGAGCAAATTATCTTGTAATCCCTCTCTCTGTCTCTCGATTATGGTTCAATTTATTCAACCGGAGCATTTGATTCGTTGCCATGTTTGCTTGAGATAGGCTGTGAAAGCGAAGTGTGTCCAGTCCTTGATCTCCTACTGCTTCCCCGACCACAGTCCCCTTTTCCAACCGATCAGCAGACCGTTTGTATCGTTTGAACATATTGCATCATATTGGAACCTGTTGTTTCTATAACATTGTATTAGTCCAATGCAGTTTTTGTAAAACTATTTCAACGCTGTTGCCCGGCTCAGGATCGTTCTAACCACGTTGGAGGCCTGATGTGGCTTGTTATTCAGAAATAGATTGTTACCAAAACCAAATAGTACGTCTAGACAGCTCATCTCCTACTCTGTTGATCATGTCATGTTCTGCACTTGAAGAACACAATGCCAATGCTAGGAATATGTGTTATTGACTTGAACCTGTAATCTGAATTTGTTGGTCCACTTAATGAATTTTTAAGTAATTTTACAACACAGACAAAATAAAACCAAATGGTGTATCGAGGATGTTATCTTGTGATCAATAAAACGCCTGGATTTTCCCTCAAATCCTTATATTATATTCCAACAAACAACTAATAGCAGTGTGGCTGTAAGGTTTCTTCGTCGGTGGTGTCCCGTCACAAAATTATCACCTCTAAGGACGCGTGTTCGAACTCCATCACCACCACCACCATCTGTACGAGGGTTGACTTCTCAGCGGGATAAGCTCAACTAGTTCTACAGTTCGAATGATGCTCAGTGCGAGTGCTCTGTGCATAATATCTGGATGCGAACAAGTTAGTTCTCGGGTTATTCCGTATACATAAAAGGACCTCTTATTTTTATCTGGACCTGTGTCTTACAGAAAATTGTGCCGGGTCATCAAGAGAAACCCATTGATGAATCTGATCGTCACCAGGCATTCCAGTTTTGGTGTGGTGGATTCAATGATACAGCCAACTTGGTACAATAGTATGATAGACATTTCATCGAGTGTCCTTGAACCGGGGAGTTCATTGTTCATGGGCATGGTTACTGTAACCATATCACACAAAGGCGGATATCATCATCAAATGAACATGTGTGAGAGACAGCCGATTTCTGTGTTTAACGAGCGGATGGATGACGCATTCAATAAATTAAAGTGAACTGTCGAAATGGACCGTTTCCGCTGTGCCGGTTCTGTCATCCGTGGATCATGTATCCGGGGGCCATTTGCAATCGGTATGACATCTGTGCTCTATCTGTTAAACCGAACGTGTTGTTCGATGTACCAAGCTGGTGTTGCATATATTTCTCGACCTGATTGAGTTTACGTTAGACTGATATAACTTTGAAGTTCACTTTTTACTCTTACACATAAGTTGGCCATAATTCATTAGTGAGCTGGGATAGAAAGATGCGAACGATCGGAACGTCAATCGACAGGAACGTACTCGATTGTATTTTCCTGTTTCAAAACGATTTGTTTACAACAATCTTCTCAATATTATGTTATGCATACAATTAAAACAGTAATTTTTCAAATATCTGAAAGCTGTCTTTAGCAAATGGCACCTTTCATATGTGAGTTGATAACAGTTGCAAATAACACCTGAATCGGCTTCATCTCCGCGTTGGCCTGTATTCATATCTTTGGTCTACTAAACTATGCTCCTTGAGACAGCATACCTTTATAAAACCGTCTATTCCCCGAAGCCTCATTAATCCAGATGAAGATCAGCCTCATGACACGAATAAGAGGTGAGTAAGCTTTTTTCGAAATTTCATGTTCATGTCTGGGAACCGATATATTGATATCTGAGATATGCGGTGGGTGTGGGTGTGCACCCTTGTACAGCACAAAACATATCGCATTGAATAATTGACGAATGACTGCTTCGGTGGCGAGACCAGGTGAGCAGCATTGTGCTTTGGGGGCGCTGCCATTGTTGTGGGGTTTAGCAAACGTAGATGTGACACAGACCCGGGGTGGGAGGATTGCCTTGATCCACCTGGGATATTGAAACAGTAAGAAAAGCAAACACGTCGAGATCGGAAACTGCTGCCCATGATGACAGGTATACGCGTTTGGCGCATTCATTAAGTCGGTGACATGAATGACGAGATGGATAGTAGTGGTGATGGTGATGGGGTTGAAACTTAATGTGCAGCTGTTCTACCTAGCACGAATTCAGTCCGATAAAAGACGGATGCTGTTTTAAAGTCAAAGCTGTACAAACCTTGATTATCTAGGTTATCTTTTCACATTCATTGTTTAGGAAGTCAAGGAAGTCTTTCAACATTATACACAGTGATAAAAGCACACGTTCTAAATGTTTTACCATTCTGTGACGAATCGACCAACGGCCACGGTGCTTGGACATGCGCCTGTGAGAGGGTTTGAATCAATGGTTGGAATGGCGGAAAATATCAGAAACCTATTCACGATTGTGCTCTCGGTTTGTTAATGGACATTCACACAGACAGCTTAAAATCTACCAGCAGGCCTGCCAGTAAGTGAAGATAGTTTGCAGAGAATGGATATCAAACATTCGCATAATGCATACACGTATTGTCTCGTGCGCGCCCTCGACAAATCCACATGTGGATGAATGTGGTTTGCAATGCTCTCAGTTCACTCACTGTATTGAAAATTGCTTTGAAGATCAATAACATTTTGGAATAACCCAAGAAAAGTTGAAAATGCGTAGTGCTGATCTCACACAGCAGCCCGGAAGCTCCACTGGACTCTCTAACATCTTTCAGCAGTTCGCTCTTCCCAAAGCGGTATCTTCCGAGAAAAGTTGCACCAGACGGGTACGAATGTACTAAAACACCAAGTTGACGGACAGATGGTAAATAAGCTAACCGTACGCTCTATTTGGAAGATTTTCAGGATCTCATGTTCCTCAGCAAACGCAACCCGGACAGCTGGTTTGGTCAGGAACTGCATGAATCACAGCATCGATTTTTTCGCACCTGAAAATTGGATCAAACGGTGGTGTCACATACTTTTCATTCTTCGGTTTCATTCATTTTCAAAAAACCAGTTCACTGTTCTGACCAAAAGCACAGCAAACGTTCTGACTTGATGAAGTTACATTACAACATTTTAGAGACACTCGAATCCAGACATACTTGGAAAATGGCCCTCATATCGAATCCTTTCACAAGATGAACCTATCATGAATACCTTGGAGTAAAAATGGAGAACAACTTCACTCTTAATGACAAAACCACACGAAATAATTGGATAGTGTGATGCCCAGAAATGAAGAACAGTTTGTTTTCGGCTCACTTCTAAACGTTGATCGGTTCTAATGGTCTTGCTAATCCTCAGTTGACTGTATAGCACTTACCTCACTTGACGTGGTTTCAAGGACACTCTTCAATACTTCCAATTAATCAAGTATAAAACGGGCCTCTCATTAGCGAATCTTCATTGCGATATCGAGAGACTCAGGAGGCTGAAGGAAAAACGTACATGAGGTTAACTGAAGACCACCTAATTTGTATGGAGTGGTACGTCTGATTACTTCTTTTAGTCAGTTGAGACTACGTGTTCCCAACGAGTAATACATGTACATATACCCAGAAGTCGAGTTCAACTACTACACATCGAAATGGACGATCAATTACACGCACTTCAGGCACCAACGTGGACAGAGTGAGCATATGGGGTCATTCTAGTAGTTCTGCTGGAAAGCGGGAAATCTCATGAACATGTATGTTATGATCGTCAATTGCGGTGAACTGAGTCATGAGACGAGACTGTCGAACGTCAAAACTTACGGACAGTTGATATTAATCATACAAGAACACCGAACGACATAGTTTAGTTCGATTTCGAAGCATCAATACAACAGAAACACTTGCATCCACACTTTTGGGGTATCGCTAAAATGGAGCTATTGTTTCTTTTACATCTCGATGGATAACAGATTTTCCCGTTGGTCAGTTTTCCGCCCGATTTGAGCATTGTTTATATTGTGTTTGGGGAATGTATTTAATCATCCCAAGAAAATTTAAAATGACGATGTATGTTTGCGAGCTCCAGGTTTTCCATCCTCTCCTGTTGTGTGTGTATGTTTGGTTGTATTTCATGACCAAAGTGACTGGGTAAGGGACATGAGTTTCACGAAAACATTTTACTCCCCGGACAAAATAATTTCACGGCAGCTGAGTCCGCTTCCAATTGGTTGTATTCATGGGAATAACAAACTTGGTCTTAGTGTCAAACTTCCTGTTTACATAGAAACAGGGTTAGTAGAAGGTGTGGACTGGTTTTGAGCATACTGTATTTGTTTCGGACCCCGGAGTGAATTTCCTTCTTTTCGATATGAACTATTCCGACAAAAGCATTGCTGTATATTTGCTATCCGTACCGGTCCTGATTGACCATAGTTGTTCATCACGCGTAACCATTGTTTGACCCACCTAAACTAACAGCCGCATTAAATCCTCCATGGGTGATAGAAACTAAGCATATTCATTTTCGAATCCAACTGACTGATCAGATGCAAATTTCAATAATGTTCCAAACTGCTTCGACTGTTTGATGTGTGTGAATATACCAGTAATATTCTTCGCGTAACAACTAAATCAACTGAGAAAAAACATTGTGATATATCTATTTCAACCTTGGGCAATGAGAAGACAGACTCAGAACTCATTTAGTAATTTTGGAGCATTTGATCGCTAGACGCCTCATCATCAATGCCGTTTCTATAGTTTGTGTTTTGCCCACGTAACAGCCGTGAAAATGCGCTTGTGTTGGGGGCAGAGTTGAGAATCAGGGCAAAAGCCTTCACTTCTTGGATCTGTATGCGGGTCGACCTCACGTGTTCGACTTTCGGTCAATTGAATGCAATTAAAGGGTTAGTCATCCTTCTGTTGTCCTGACCCCATCGATTGATACGCGCATGTATATCTAGGCCTGTGTGCAAACACACAACGAGGCGACGTTGTAATGCACAAGTGAACAGTGTTTGGGGTGGGGTGGATGAGACAGGAACCATGTGGTGCGCAAAGAATTTTCTTCTCCATTGTAGACGATCACTGTTCAAATAAGTGGGACAAACGATAACAGTGACAACTTTTCGCATTTGGGTGGTTTATCGAATTTTGGGAAAGTCGAACGAAAACCGCGTTGAACAAACTGTTTCGTATTGTATGCACCATGTGGTTAGCAATCTTTTCCTCATACTGAGAGTCATTTAATTCTGATCAGAGCGCAGATCGTGGACGAACATACGTTTTTGGTGCTTCCATTGTCAAGTTACTACAGTTGGTTATATTTTCTTAGGAAATTAACCGGAAGATGGTGTGGTATGATTCAGGTCAGATTAGTCAAGTCAGTATTAGCTTTATACACCCGGATGGGTGAATTTTCAACATGAATGAGGTTGAGATCAATTTATGATAGCAAGACGAGGGAAACAATGAGGTTTTAATTTGTCTGCATTTCTCGCTTTCAGCCATGAGCACGTAACTGAACCGTTGGCCACTAATCCACGTCATCACTACGCTCATGTGTGATGTGGTCCACTTTCGTTTAGCCAAGTTGGAGCGACCGAATCAGCCATTTCTTGTCGGGAGAAGAGAGAAACACTTGATGGATTAATTGTAAGAAGAGACGGCTGACCGAAAACAGTGCGGTTTATTGTGGCATGGTACTAAGCAGATTTTTTAACTTCAACATTGATCACCTGACACGTTCAACTTAATCCTGCCTAGCTTTTCGTCTACTTTACTCCGGAACACCAAAGTCCCGATCAACTTCAGAGTGTCAGCTGAATTTCACTATGACCGGGTTCTGATCATTGCGATTTTTGACTGGATGGAAACAAGATGCGTTCTGTTGTTTGTCCACCGTGCGGCGGGAAAAACTTGATTTTACATTCCCAATTCATTTCCGCACTGGTCCATTTGAAATGTTCCGTGTGTGGGATATTCCTCCGTTGAGGATCTAAGAAATCTAAGCATGCCAGTATTGTAAATAACGGTGGTGACTGTTGTTTTTGTAGCTCAGGCAGTATAACTCGATGTTCAGTTGTTCGCCGAACCTGGCAATTTTATTGTATTTGTATGCAATACTATTGCCAAGCTCGGCGAACAACTGAATATCAAATCTAAGCATATCACGATTTCGTGGCAAGCAACGAACGTAGGAAATTCTTCATTTGCAGAAGATGCGATTCCATCAGAAATGTGTTATGTGATGGCTTGGTATTTTTTTGAATTACCCTACCTTCTTATGCATCAGCTAAAAGGTCATCATCTGACTCTTCAATCAATTAGTTTCCATGCATTTTTGTTCTGAAATGTCCTTGCCTGATGAACGAACATTAGCATTCGTTTTTACTTCCCTTTGATTGAATACATAATTGCACAAAATTGTTTTCAGGAATGGAAAGTGTACTATCAAATATCTCCTTTTACTGCTAAAATATCGTGGAATGTTAGGCGTCAGTAATGAGGTTTGGCAAAACTCGACCTTCTGGTTGATAAGTTAATAACCGTAAACGTTTGACCACAACATTTCGAGACCACCTGAAGATATCTTATTGGCAGCACCAATCTTCACTTCAGAAGTAGCGCGAACTAAAATACTTAAAGCGATCTAAATAAGGCGGAATTCTAAATTCTAGTTGCAGATAAATTATCAGTGTTTTCATCATGTACCTAAAACATCCAAATCACCTACTGTAGAGAGAGAAATAAGAATTTCGGAAATTCCCTTCTTTTATTTCTTTTGGATCCCGCCCCCAAATGTGTGCGAAATCCAATAGCTTCTGCTCGCATCCAGACCATGTCAACATATCTATTGAAGATCGACTATCTGATCAAATATTTCCAGGGTTCCATCACATTTTATCGAAAAAAGGAAACTGAATAAACATCCGTTTTTTTCCCAGTTCAACTTTAACTGGTTCGACAAACTAAAGCAAGGTAAAACGAGCCGAACCATTTAACTCTCTCTCTCTCTCTCTGTGCACTCAAAATGACACGGCCTACGGACGCACTNATCACTGACGCTTCGCGCGCGTGAGCCCCACATCTATATCCATAAAAATTGTAAATTGAAGTGGTTCATTTTGACCGTAGGATTATTCAATCTGTGCTGGTTTGATTTTTTGACAAATGAAACTGAGTGTTGTTTTAGCCACACCTGTCCACTATTATCGTGTGAATTTATCGAATAGGTTTTTTGACCCAATGAATCGATCGCGGGAACGTTTATGCTATGCTTGACAATCTTTGCTCTCTCTCTCTCTCGCTGCTTGCTTCACTGACAAGCGTACAATGGGAGTTGCTGACAGGTGTATGTCTATCATCCACTATTCATCGTGTCCGACCCATATACGTTCAAACCTGTCAGCAGTACGTCAATCACGAAACCGATGTGGCGCAAATACCTTTTTCATTTGTTAAATGAGATATGTCTCTTTCTCTGAATACTGTTTCGAATTTCGATCTTGATTTCTCCCTCATCAGGCTTGTCGATTTGGTCGCGTGCAACACTTGGAAACGCTGCTTGCCTACGGGGCCGATATCAATAGCCAGACAGCAAAAAATGGGAATACTCCTTTACATATTTGTGCGTTCACTGGTCAGGAGAGTTGTGCCCGATTGTTACTGTTTCGTGGAGCTGATCGGACTCTGCTGAACCGGGCCGGTCACACAGCCTACCAGCAGGCAGTCCTGGTGGAGAACAATACGGTGGCCGACCTAATTCGCACATTTCAAGCCAAAGATGTGGGTAAGTTTCCACTTGGTTCCAAGCCGATTGCTGCTTTTGTCGTTGTCGTCGTGGTTTTCCACTTATGGACAGACCTATTGCACATTTGATAATGCCGGTCCGGAATGTGAAAACCTTGAATGGAGCGAGTAGGATAAGTGTTGGGTATTTGTATAATTACATAGAACATTACCGAATTCACGTTTTCAGTGATGCATTCCGAACGGTTTGGTGTTTTTTTCCTGGGCTTTCTACAGTGTGAGATACTGGCCCAGTTTGGAGACTTGGAAACTTTTTATGTACACGCACACGAACACAGACAGAGACAAATTGCAACGAATTGTATCGGTGTGAAGCACAGTCTACAGTTCTCAGTCCATTCAAGATCTAAGAATGAGGGGGCTATAAAAGTGGTTTCTTAGGCCAAACTACCCACATACGTGGATCAATCTATGAGTGGTGAACAGAGTTTTACTGCAAGGTGGTGAAAGCAAGCCACCAGGCAGACAGACTGTTTTAGAACCTATATTGAGAGCATAACAGTTTTGAAGGTGCGTTTTTGTGCGGTGTGCTTTCACTGGTAGTTAATTAAAGATGTGGTTCTCCGTTGTTTTTTGATGAGTCTTCTTGTATTTACTATTGTATGATGCATTCTTTTCACGTGTACTGTTTGGTTTAATATTCCGGGAAAAGGGATTTAATGAAGTCTTCACATTGATATTCCCACAATAATATTTGCAAGCTCCATAAGAAATGAAGAAATTCACAAAAGTATGTAGTTCGATTACGTTCAGTGCAATATTTACCTGGGATGAGGGAAGGGGATGAAGCAATCTCCATGTAAAATTCACGTTTTTGCGGTGGAAATGGATTTTGCAAAAGCGACTCTGTTATTCATTTGGATAGACTATAGACGATTATCAACACATAGCGTCACCTGAAACCTACGTATTCTTTCCCGTAATGGATATTGGTTTGATCATGTCTGTTGCAATTTAATGAGATGGTTTTTGTTTTTATGCGCCTGTATCAATAATTATATCACAATTCTAGAGGTTCGAGTCACATTCCAGAGTGAAAATTCCATATTCACCGCCGAGAGTTGATATTTGAAAGTTGTCCTGCTACACACAGGTTATGTTTGAGTGGCCACTTTAATTTCCGGGACTTAGGTTTCCCATTTGTGGAACACAGTAGCTATGAGTTTGATCGCTCTTATCGTGTGAAATTAGTCAGCAAAATAGGATGTGTACTCTATTTATATCTTGATACACGCCTGAGTGCCAAACAAACCACGATACAATAATCTTTATAAAAAAAAGAAAAAGAGGTCTATGCTTTTCTCGAGGGCTCCATATTGTTAGGTTGCCTAGTCCAAAGCGGGGGAATTTTCCCTGTAAGATTTCCGGGCCGGAGCCTTCGGCTGGCCAAAGCCTAACCTGCAGGAGAGGGGGGTGGTGTGTGAAAATCGCAATCGATTGAGGACCGGTGTTCACTTCATCGGATCATACGCTGATTTGACGGGGTCAAACGTCCAGGGTGTCCAATACACCTCGATACCCAATTCGAGCCATTAGCCACTATCATGACCACGAGGGTGTGTGCGTGGTTCATATGCCTCTTCTTGGTTGGTTCGGAATCAGGGTTTTTAGCTAACTACCGCAGGTGAACTGCCAGTGGATATTGGATTTCCGTCCACTGTGGTGGCTGCGTAAATCACTTCGTATAGTATTACAAGGAGTGTGGAGCACGCAGTACACGCTCTTGGGTACAAATCTTCCGCATATAATTGGTATCCGTCAGTCAATTGCAACGTCCTGTCCAAACGAGGATTACTTCACAAACAATCTCAAAATTTACAAATGGTAGGCATATGGTAGAAGATTTGTAAATTTGGTTTGCTGACAAATTGACATATATAAGCTTTTCTATCAGGATACGTCACATTGGCTTAAGAAGGCTCAGTAAACTGTGTGATCTGTGATATGCGTAATTGAGTGCATTCTTCGAACGCACCACGGCGACATCTTACCGTTGAGACCTTCTATATATTAATCCTCAAGTCCTAATCATTCCGGTCAATTATTCATCTTCACACTGACAGATACGCTGAAAGAGGACGCATGCTTTGCAATGTGTCCCAGAATAGGATGCAGCGTCGAATTTACTTGTTCCATATTCTGATGAACAACAAGAATGTGATTCATCAGAGCCACACCCTTGTCGATTTTTAACATTTTTTTGCGGTGCTGCGCCAACCCTGCATGATTCGGGTCAGCACCATCCTCATGTACGTTTGCGAACAGTCATCCTGTTTATAGCCAGTCGACCGGCTCGACAGTGATCATGTTTCATGTTACTCATTTCTAGCTTATGAGAGAGCTGAGGTCGGGAACAATGAGGTGTAATTGAAGAGTTCACAGAAGGATTTACGCAAAGCTTTGATCCGGTTCGAGTTCTACGGTGGGATAGCCAATGATATCAAAATGATTTCTACGTATCAAATGGTTGGTAAACTGCAAACAGATTTAATATATACCATAATGCTATACTCTACTACGCTATATACCATACTATAGTGTCACATTATTCTTACTGACCCAGTAACGAATCCGTATGACCTGCTTGGTAGGTGTTGTGCTTCGTAATCCGACCTCAGTGAAGCGTATTTTACTCAAAGATGATAAAGCTTGTATGGTGGCAAATGAATTCAATGGAGGTTTCATGAGAACTAATGTAGAGACACAGTGAACTTAAACTTGTTCCTTCTCGGATCCTATTACCCGTGGTGAAATATACTGTCATCGTCTTAGTTACACTGCACTGCATATAAAGGTCTGATCAAAACTAAACCAACAGGTCCATGTGAAACACTTGTCGGTTCGTATGGGCAACAGCATTTATAATGAAGAAAATTTTTTTCAAAACTGATAATAAACAAGTCTTGGAGAGTCTTTATTTCCGTGATTTTCCTGAATCGTTTACACTCAGCAGATGGAATGGTTCAAAATGTAGCGGATACTCCCATTTCGTCAGTAGTGGCTGACCTAGACCATGATGAGTTAAGAGCTAACTAAAGAGAATGGAAAATATTTTAGTGCATCAGAATCGGCCAGTACTGTAAAACCGTGCACAATTTTCTAATTGACGCTAGTATTTTCACAAAACCAATATATGCATGTAATAATTTTCTCTATGGTACCTTGAACCCCCTTTTTCTAATTATTGTTATTGTTGTGCTCACTTTGAAACCGTGTTTGTTAGCAAATCAGTGGTGTATGAATGTATGTATGTTAAGTTTTCAAAATACGTCTTTTGAGGGACCTTCATCGTGTTTATGCCACAGGGTTACAAAAAGCGCTTGACTGTTTTCTTTGAACAATTACTGATGTATTATACATGTATGCCATATCACACAGGGGATTTCACCTAGCAAAAACGCTGAAGTCACTTCACGTTGTTTATTTCAGTACATGCGTTGGCCTCACCAACACTTCCCTTCGGATTTAAAATCACGGATAGTTTGAATGAATGGGCTCCTGTAGAAACATTCCTGCGTGAAAAAGATAATCCAATGTTGATCAGTGCGCGCTGACTTAGCACTGTTTCATTCTAGATCTGTAATGATTCTTAAACATGTGCTGTTCCGGAAATGAGGCAATCTTTCACTGCGGTACGTCTACACATGTAGTCGTGCGCTGCTTTTGTTTAATACTTCCGAATGTGAATATTTTTCAAAACGTCTCTGTTGCTCAAAACCTTGGGTAAATATCTTCCACTCCTCTTTTTGTGATTGATTGAAAACCGATTTTTACTGTAGTTGGAGCCTGAATGGCAGTATTATGATTATCAATAAAACAATTTTTGAATAGGCTTAGATCAATTTTCGTGTATTGACGGTCTCCGAGTGCACACTTAGTCGTCTTGCCTAATCTGATCAGGTTTCCCCCAGGTCGGCAATCTGACACCCGCGAGGAGGAATCTAAATCATACATCAAATGCGAATTGGAAATCACAAAAAGAAATAGATAGCCCTTGATGTGAGTATTTGCACTGTACTATGGGTTGCTGTGGTTGAGGAAAATGCTATTATACGAAAAAGATTTCATTTGGCCACTTCTTCAAAATAAAACAAAATAAATACAACTACTAATCCAAAACCAACTTCACATGTCTCCAGACCGCATTAGACTACACGTTTTTATCTACTCCGGACCCGTTACTAGTGCCCTAATCCATAAGAACTGGTGTCCGGTAGTGAGGTTCGACCGGTTTCACCAAGTCTTATCGCGATCTTTGTCCCGCACTGGGGACAACAAATCACTCTGGACCGGTGTGAAAAATACTATCTTGTCCGGGTTTGAAAAAAGTCACGCAACATTTTTCAAACGGAGGTTTTCGTGCATTCTCGGTCTGAGCTATTCATTCAAGTTAACAAATACCCGGGTCTGCAGATGTGTCATTGGGTATTGATAAACTGGTCCCGGTTTCTGCCGTTTCGGTTGGTTTAAGCACATGTTGAGCATGATTAATTTAACTTATGAAACAATACGCAATCATTCTCGCTTGTGAAACGTCGCCCATCTTTCTTCAGACTTACGGTTTGAATGCATTTTCGTCAAATAAAACAGGAATGTTAAATTGTATAAACCAACGAAANACGAAAGAGAGGAAAGTCATATAGAAGGAAGTCAGAATAAATCGTCCAGAACACAGAAGTGACTCAGTTTCAAGTAAATCATGCATCCCAACGATGGCGCTTTCAAGCTTACGCAACCTATGTTTGAAAAAGTACACTATTGCATCTTAAGAACGGAGAGCCCAATTATGTTGAACGACGAACACGCCAAAGTCTGATGATACAACAAATCTGCTAGACATCAACCATTTACATTCCTTATCCGTAACTTCGGTGGTTTTAAAGCACATCACACTAAGGGATGACTGTCGTAGAGCAAACTGATGTCACTACCCCCTCCCGAATAAAACAAACGGTTAGCGTGTGATCAAAAGCATGAGTG